CCTGCTCCTCCTCCTTCTCCTCCTCCCCGTCCTCCTCCTCCTCCTCGTCCTCTTTCTCGTCCTCCTGCCCCTGCTCCTGCTCCTGCTCCTGCTCCTGCTCCTGTTCCTGCTCCTGCTCCTGCTCCTGCTCCTGCTCCTGCTCCTGCTCCTGCTCCTCCTCCTCCTCCTCCTCCTCCTTCCTCGCGGACGTCTGGGAGCGGGGGCGCTGCAATGCACCTGCCCCTCCCGCCTTTTCCACGCAAGCGCAACGGGACCGCTGGCTCTGAAATCCATACCCTGACACGGACGACGGGTCGTCTTGAACAGGGACCGACCGTTCTGGCATTCCTGTAGGCCTACCAGGACATACTCCTCGAACAAGAGAGCGCTCTAAACAAACAACCGAATTTCTTAGAACATAAAAGCCGATGTTTTAAACCAAGCGGTCTCGGCCAGACATGTTTTAAGAGCGTTCCCTGGAATCAACAAACGGTCCTTAGAATGGTCTGTGGTGGGTCTATAGGCAAGCCAGGACGCCTCGTCACTGGTTGAACATCAGACTGCGATGCGGCGGCCCCCGCGCCGGCTGAGCTGAGCCTTCGCGCGCACGCCGGATGACCTCTGCCGGGGAAGGGGCCGAAGCAGGACACCGCATGCTCTCCCCAGGAGGAGGAGGAGGAGGAGGAGCAGGAGGAGGAGGAGGAGGAGGAGGAGGAGGAGGAGGCTGCTGGGTGCGCGGGCCCCGCTGTGCGAAGCAGAGGCGGGGGAGGGGAGAGGAGTGGAGAGGAAGGCATTGGGGAGGAGAGGGGCGAGGGCTGCCGTGCCTCTGCACAGCCCCTCCTCCGAGCACGCGCGGCCGCCGTGCGACGGGGCAATCGCGAGGACCGACCAGCTAATCCGATCGCGTGGACAAATGTATTCGCCGGGCTACTGGGCGACTTGGCCTCCTGAGGCCATGCACCACCAAGCTCCGACAAGCGTTATTCGCAGGAGGGGCGGGGTTAGAAGGAGACATAGCTGCACCAATACGCAATACGCAACCCGTAGCGTGTTGACACGGAGCCGAACTCGTGTATTTAAGACGTAGCCCACGTTCGTTTGCAATCTGCGATCACGTAGGCTACGTATTGAAAACGTGGCGTACTAGGCCTGCCGCGATACGCTCGCCAAGACGTGGGGCAACACCTACCCGAGCCAACACGCAACGTGTCCTGCCCGAGCCAACACGCAACGTGTTAACACGGACGTTTTGAGCAAGGTGCGTGCTGCGTCTCAGAACGAGCGCACCAGCGCCGCGAAAGAGACGGAGCTGGATGGGGGGGCAGCAACGGCAACACTCCTGGCCCAGGCGGGCGCGTCACTGCCCGCGCGCAATTGAGCCGGGGCTCTCAGCCCCGCCCGTCGCCCCGCTGCGGGCCGCCTCCTCCCTGGCGGTGCCCGCCGCCGCCAGCGTCGCCAGCGCGATGGCCTCGGGGATGGGGGGAAGGGGAGTGTGGAGGGGGGGGCGGACGGAAGGGGGCAGAAGGCGCAGGGGGCAGGAGACGGCGCGGGGAAGGAAGAGTGGGGGAGCAGGAGGAGCGGCGGAGGAGAGAGGAGTGATGCGGTCATCGTAGTGGCTAGGGGAGTATTGAAACAGCAGTGGCGGTAGTAGTGGCAATGGTAATAGCCCGTAGTCGTGGTACTGGTGGTGGCTTTGAAAATCTCACCGTGAGAATTAAGAATTACTCCGGACAGCCAGAATCATAGAGTTGGTGTTGACGTACTGAGATTATAACTACGGCTGGAGGCACCAATCGACAAAGTAGTAGGAATAACCATCGTCGTCGTAATACTAGTAAGACCATACTCACCGTAGTCGTGCGTACACTTACTGTCCATCGAAGTCAGAATGGCCGTAGTGTGCGTCCCCCTTGGAGACACGACATCGGTAGCAACATTCGTACGACTAACAGACCTTGCAAGTTTCCGCCAGCCTGCGGGCAGGAAGCCCCTGGCCTAATCACCTGGAGCAGCTCGCATGGCAAGCAAGATCGTGGAGCGCGGCCCCCAAACCCTGACCCTGGCTCCCGCGTGGTCTCGGGGGGCAGCGGTGCACCCGCAGCGCGCGCTGCGACTGGGCCGCGCGAGGGACGGCGGGATCTTGTCCTCCGTCCGCGCCCTCTTTCATGGGCCGATATTCCACCACCACCACTATCACAGGTTGGAGAGGGAGGAGGAGGAGGAGGAGGAGGAGGAGGAGGAGGGGAGGAGGAGGGAGAGGGAGGAGGAGGAGGAGGAGGAGGAGGAGGAGGAGGAGGAGGAGGAGGAGGAGGAGGAGGAGGAGGCGGAGGAGGAGGAGGAGGCAGAGGAGGAGGAGGAGGAGGAGGAGGAGGAGGAGGAGGAGGGGGAGGAGGAGGAGGAGGAGGAGGAGGAGGAGGAGGAGGAGGAGGAGGAGGAGGAGGAAGAGAGGGAGGAGGAGGAGGCGAGGAGGAGGAGGGGAGGAGGAGGAAGGAAGAGAGGAGGAGGAGAGGAGGAGGGAGGAGGAGGAGGAGGAGGAGGAGGAGGAGGAGGAGGAGGAGGAGGAGGAGGTAGGAGGAGAGGAGGAGGAGGAGGAGGAGGAGGACGAGGAGGAGGAGGAGGAGGAGGAGGAGGAGGAGGAGGAGGAGGAGGAGGAGGGGGAGGGGGAGGAGGAGGAGGAGGAGGAGAGGAGAAGGAGGAGGAGGAGGAGGAGGAGGCGGAGGCGGAGGAGAGGAGGGGAGGAGGAGGAGGGAGGAAGGAGGAGGAGGAGGAGGGAGGAGGAGGGGGAGGGGGAGGAGGAGGAGGAGGAGGAGGAGGAGGAGGAGGAGGAGGAGGAGGAGGAGGAGGAGGAGGAGGAGGAGAGGGAGGGGGGGGAGGAGGAGGAGGAGGAAGAGGAGTAGGAGGAGGAGGAGGACCTCTCCCGTCCTACCCATGGTAGTCCACCGACTTCCCCAAAGCCCAGGCCTCTTTGGCAGGGTGGCCGTGGGCGGCTTTGGCATCGGAAGTGCGGCGATCTGGAGGCTCCCTATCTCCTGGCATTCTCGGGGGGCGGCATATGCCGCGTGGTCCTCTTGGTCCGGCTCGTTAAGGTGAAGTGGGAAGACGCCTGTCGCATCCCTCCCTGATCGGACGCCCGCTTTCCCTGCAAGAATGCTCTTCGCCTCCTCGTCCTCCTCCTGGTCCTCCTCCTCGTCGTCGTCCTCCTCATCCTCCTCAGTCTCATTCTTCTCCTCCTCGTCCTCCGCGATCTCATCCTCCTTCGCCTCCTCCACCATGAGGGTCGCGGGGTTACACAGATGTTCCTTCTACGGAAGGGTTCACGAACGTACTGTTCCGCGGGGCGATTGCCAAGAATGCATACTCACCCTCTGCGGAGCGGCAGCAAACGGACTCCTCCAAATGCCCTCCGTGAGGTCGTCCGAGAGGCCTCCCGAAGGCCTCCGTGCGAGGCTTCGTGGGCCACCCCACGGCGGCCTTGCTTAAGACGAAGCCAGGATGAGGCCAAACTCGGGTGAGGATAGCTCCAGAACCTCTGAGATCCGGCCCCTCTGGAGGATGTCTCGGGCGCCGCGGCCTTCTCAGAGCGTTCCAAAGTGCTCTGAGAGCGTTCCAGAAAAAGCCCTGGAACCCGTCCCAGCCCCCGCCTCCTCCTCCTCCTCCTCCTCCTCCTCCCGTCCTCCTCCTCCTCCTCCTCCTCCTCCTCCTCCTCCCGTCCTCCTCCTCCTCCTCCTCCTCCTCCTCCTCCTCCTCCTCCTCCTCCTCCCGTCCTCTTCCCGGCCTAGCCCCCCGCGGCCCGTGGCGGCCTTGCTGCCCATGGCCGCCGTGCGGCGCGTGGCCCTGCCGCGGCTCGCGGGCGTGGCCGCCCCGGTGCGCATCGCGGGCGTGGCCGCCGCCGTGCTGCTGCGGGCCGCCGCCGCCGCCGCCGTGCTGCGGCCGGCCGCCTGCGTGGCCGCGCGGCGGCGGCGGGCGGTGGAGGAGGGTGCTGGGCGTCGCTTGCAGAGGAGGCTAGTTCACAAGGAACCTCCCACAAGAAGCCCAATCCTGAGACCGATGTCCATGGGTTTTTGGTGTGGGAGCGTCACGCTCTCCATGGCAAAAAACATCGAAACCCAAGAAACCCACGGCACCCTGGGGGCAAGCAGGGTGTTTCTTGGCAGGGGTCTCCACCATAAGCTTGCCGTCGCGCGGACGTCCATACCAAGTTTTTCCTTCGTGTTTTTTGTTGCTAGACGATCCAGGGTGCTCCTCGATGGCCCCCGCCGAGAAGAAACGCACCCGCCCGAGCGATGCCAAGCCAAGGGGGGAGGCGATCAACCCAAACCCCCTCGGGTCATGAGCAGATCACGACGAGAGGTTTTTTAATGTTTTCGGCCTTCGGGGGCCCTCACCGGGCCTCGGGACCGTCGTAAAACGACTCAGGATGGGAAACTGGTCCCGGGGAATGGGTCGAGATCTCTGGGGGTCGACGTTACGATCAAATCAAAACGTTGGGGGTCTGGGAGTGGGGGGGGGAGGGGGGTTAGCGTGCACCTCTCGTCCCCCTTTTGGGCACCAGGTGACCGTTTTGGAGACCCTTTCGGGGACAAAACGTGCACGTGTCTGCTCCCCACCCCGTGTATCGCCCCCCATTGCGCAACGCCCGAGGGCGGCGGCGACCCAGGCATCCGGCGTCTCGAACAACTCGCGACGGACGTGTTTCATCCTCTCTTGCCTCTCGGGGCCCTTCTGCTGGGCCTCGGGGCCGTCAAGAAACACATCGGGGTGAAACGACGACTGTCCCGTGGAAGTGGTCGAGATGTCAGGGGCCCGTGTCTCCTGAAAGTCGAAGCGCCGAATGTCTGCGGAGGGGGCGGAGTGTGGCCGAGGGCAGCAACGATGAGAGGGAAGGCAGGAGGAGGCAGGGGAGGAGGAGGGAGAGGAGGAGGAGGAGGAGGAGGAGGAGGAGGAGGAGGAGGAGGAGGAGGAAGAGCTAGAAGGCGGAGAAGGAGAAGGAGGAGAAAGCGAGGAGGAGGAGGAGGAGGAGGATGAGGAGGAGGAGGAGGGGTGTCGCTCCATGCGCCTACTTTTCTTCCTTCTCTTCGATCCTCCTCCTCTTCCTCCTCCTCCTCCTCCTCTTTCCGCTTCCTCCTCCTCATCCTCCTCCTCTTCTTCCTCCTCCTCCTCCTCCTCCCTCTCATCCCTCTCCTCCTCCCTCTCCCTCCTCTCCTTCCAATCCTCTTCTTCGGGCAGCATGGCAATCGTTTAAGGCCACGGGTCCGTCAGGAATCGGCAAGGCCCGTCGTCACTTCGGATGGACTCAACTCGGATGAACGGGTCAAGATGACGTCCATGATAGATCCAAGGGCCGGCTCTGCGCGAATTTCGGTTTCGGAAGTCCAGCTTCGGAGATTTCAGCAATTTCCTGGATGCGGGATGTCTCTGAACGATTTTTTCTGTGGGGCAACAAGAAGGTGTTTTTTTCATATTCTTGACTTCGACATTTCGCCGAAGGGTGGGGGAGGGGGAGCGGGGTCTGGGTCTGAGCCAATGCTTAGTCGATCTGCTTCTACCAGTCGCTCCAACAGAAGGGGGGGGAGGGGTCCTGACCAGCCGCCAGAACCAGCCGCCAAAAGCAGCTAGGATCTGGTCTGTGGGAGGGGGAGCGGGGGCCCGCATCGATCGGCGGAAAGAAACACAGAAACGGCGACGAGGGACCAGCTCACAGGGCGGAGGTCGCGCTGGAATCGGCCATAGATCGCCGATGAGGCCCCGATCGCACAGCCAAGCGTTCCTAGGCTCCGATCCACAGCGGGCCCCTGTCGGCGATCAGCGGGCGATCGGGGCTCGATGCGTCCCTCCCTCCCGGGCCCAGCAGCCGCGCCTCGCCCCCCAACAGAAGCCCCCCGGGGACGCCGGGCTCGCCCCGAGCAGCGGCCCTCTCCCCTCGGCGGCGAGCCCGGGGGGGGGGACGCGAGAAGGGGGGCGGGCCCTTGCAGAAGCTCCGGAAGTCCCCCGGCCTTCTGCAGCCAAGGCGCTGAAATGAGGACCGCGTTGAGTTCAGAAGGGGCTCGCGATTCCTGAGGTTATTCCGTGGCTGTTCCTCCAGGCCTCGTCGTGCACGCAGGCTTTCTTGGGGCCAAGGGGCTTCGTTCCACATTTAGCGTTCCTTCTTTCAGCAGCCCGACTGCAACACAATATTCTAGGCCTTCCCCGAATCGTAAGATCCGATGTTGCAACAACAAAGGCAGCACCGCCAACAATCACGACCAGAGCCCCTGATCCCATCTGCCTGCTTCATTTTCCGAGCGGGCTCGGTCTGCGATGGCCCCGGGCCCCGAAATCGGGGGACAACGCCCCGAATGAAATAGTGGCAACGCCCGGATCTGGAGGGCGACACAGCCACCTTCTCGGAAGGCTGGAGTGCTTCCGAGAAGCCCCGCCACCCTCCGAGAGGGCCTTCTCCTTCGCCCCTCCACCCCTGGCGCCGAACCTCGCTCGCCCTCGGACCCAGGGCGTCCGGAAGAAGGACAGATGGATACGTGCCGTCGCCCTCCGCGCGTGAAGGGCGGTGAGAGGTCCCTTTGCGCCAGCTGCACAGCGCGCCGAGCTCCAGGTCTCGGCCGCTCCATGCTCCCTGTGTCTCTCTCTGCCGTCCCGCGAGGTGAGGCTCCAGGCCTCCCTCGCCGCCGGCCCCCGGCGCCGCCCCTCCGACCCCGCCCCTGGGGCGCGCGAGGCCCGCGAGGGGCGGGCGCTCGGCGCAGCAACACGAAACACGTCGGGAGGCGTGCGGGGCCACGTGCCGCGGCGGCGGCGGCCCCCTGCGACACACCACTGAGGAGACGAGTCATCGTGTTGGGAGGCCCTGACCTCGCGCCGTGAAACATCACGCTGGGAGTTTTTTTTCGGCATCCAGGGGCCCTCGCCGGGACTCGGGACTGTCAAAAACCAACTCAGGGCGCAAAACCGGTCCTGGGGAAGAGGTCCAGGCCTCTGGGGGTCGACGTTGCGCAAAAATCACGACGTCGGGGGTCTAGGGGAAAGGGGTTGGGGAGGATGAAGGGTCTGAGCAGTAGTAGTCGGATGCAGTGCACGATGCCTCCGACCGCCTACGGGTAACGATATCCTCATCTCTCCCAGCCCCATCCTCCCAACCCGACAGCTGTCTTCCTGGACCATGCCGTGCGAGCTGATGGAGGAGGAGGGGGAGGAGGAGGAGGAGGAGGAGGAGGAGGAGGAGGAGGAGGAGGAGGAGGAGGAGGAGGAGGAGGAGGAAGAGGAGGAGGAGGAGGAGGATGAGGAGGAGAGGAGGAGGAGGAGGAGGGGGGTCGCTCCACTGGGCGGGAGGCAAGAAGAGGCTCGGCACGCCCCACGCTCGGGGGCTGGGACGTGCCCGGCTGGGAGAGGGTCGGGAGCTCGGGAGCCCCGCGTGCTGTGCAGCTGAGCTGGCCAAGAGCAGCAGGTCTCTGACGGCAATACACAACGGCCTCCTAGGTGGGTCCGGGTAGATGGGGACGAAGGATCACGTTGTATTGCCGATGTATCGGCGATGCAACGGCGATACATCGGCGACGTCGGCGATGCATCGGTGACGTCGGCGTGGGGAAACACGGGCTCCACATCGAGCCGCATCGTCGATGCATCGGCGACGCGGCGCGATCCTCCGGCCCCAGCTACTTGGACCCCATCTAGGAGGCCTAGATTACAGCAGCACGCCTCGCGCCGAGGATGCCTTCGAGCGGTGGTTGCCGCCCTCGGAAGCGTGCAGGCAAGCGTGCGCGCTCACTGCACAGCCCCGCTGCGGACAAGCGCTCTTTGCATCCACGACCTCGGAGATCTGGGCGCCTGTGCGTTCCGACCACAGTCCCCGTCCTCCTCCTCCCCCTCCCCCTCCTCCCCCCCCTCCTCCCCCTCCCCCTCCTCCTCCTCCTCCTCCTCCTCCTCCTGCTCCTCTCCTCCTCCTCCTCCTCCTCCTCCTCCTCCTCCTCCTCCTCCCCCTCCTCCTCCTCCTCCGGCCCCAGGGGGGGGGACACCCCTGGGGCCGGGGGTTCAGCTTCGTCTGGGTCGGTGCAGCGCGCCCCTGGGGGGAGGGCGAGCTTTCGGCATCGGGCACGCGACCCGCGCCTGGCTCGTGGCGTTAGCTCGGGCATGTCCTCCAGAAAAAGAGATAGTCAAAACATACCCGAAAAATGGCCAACAAATACTAAACAAAATCGTCCCCCGACTATTTTTCCCATATCCTAAGATGGAGTTAATGTTATTTCTTGGATGCCGCCGACTCCAGTGAAAAGAACACACCCAGAACACAGACTTACTCATGAACAGACTTACTCAGACTCTGACTTACTCATACCCAGACGTACTCATACACAGACCTACTCAGGCTCATACTTACTCATACCCAGACTTACTCATACACATACTTACTCATACTCAGACTTGCTCATACTCAGACCTGCTCATACTCAGATTTACCCATACCCAGACGTACACATACACAGACTTACTCATACACAGACTTACTCATACTAAGACTTACTCATACCCAAACGTACTCATGTACATACTTACTCATACTCAGACCTACACATACTCATACCTTCTCATAGTCTGAGTTGCTCACCACACGACAGATTTTGAGGATGTCTCAGGCGGGGCGCTGGCTTCAGCACCCCTATGGGGAGCCGCCAGTGGTGTTTCCACGGGCCCGTGCCAGACAGAAACGGGTGGAGTGGCCAGGATAAGACCGTCGAGCCCGACCTGCAGGGAGGTGTAGGGTGCCACAGCCCGCCCGATCCCCCCCAGTACAGCAGACAGCCGCACCAACGTCGAGCGGGCGGTGGACAGAACAGGCTACCAGGGCCCGCGGGCCAGCCGTGGCCGGGAGCCAGCCAGACCGGAGGCCACGGCGAGCGAGGCCTGCCAGGGCGAGTTGGGGTGTGAATGCACGGAGCGAGCACTGGGCTGGTCGAGTCCCCAAGCAGTGCAGGCACGGCCGAGCAGGACCCCCAGGGCGAAACGCAGTTATCATCACGCGCGCGCGCCCGCCTGCGCGGGGGCCCACGAGGCCCGAGACGCCCGCCACCAACCCGACAGAGAAACAAAATCCCACCAACCCTCTGGGCACAAGGGCGAAACGAGCCCTGTCACCACTCAGCCAAAGCACCCTCCGGCCCCTGCACGGGGGAGAGGCTTACAACAATCCCATGTTGTTGAACACATCACCTCCCCCAGGCGACTGGCGGAAGTGGTTTCGCCTGGGGTGCGGCTAACAGCCGCGGGATGGTAGGAAGAGGCTTCGCCTGAGAACAGCCGATGCTCTGTTGAGGTGCGGCTACCAGCCGCGGCTGGTGGGGATACGTTTTTTGGTCAGCGGCCCCGAAACTACGGTCAGGGAGCGGAGGCGACGTCCGGGCCACGGGCGAGGCTAATTTGCAAGACAATTCGACGCGCTGGTGGGGATACGTTTTTTTTTTTTTGTTGGTCGGCGGCTCCGAGGCGGCGGACAGGGAGCGGAAGGCGTCGTCTGGGCCAGCCGGCGAGGCAAATTAGCTACAACAGGCAACGCACCTGCAGTAATAAAGCGCAAAAAAAAGCGCATGTGCACATGCATTAAGCAAAATGCTCCACATTAAGGCGAACGCACCTAGGCGCCAGCCACACAGAGGTGAAGCAGCCGTAATGCTACGCTGGTGGGGATACGCGGAGCGTCTAGAATTACTCATCTTTCTCCTCGATCCTGGTTCAGGCCCTGGGCCCCGTCCCCCCAGCCCTGGCCTGCGCCCCCAGGGCTTCGGGTCCCTTTCTCGTCGTCGTCGTCGTCGTCGTCGTCGTCGTCGCCGTCGCCGTCGCCGTCGCCGTCGCCGTCGCCGTCGCCGTCGTGGTGGTCGTCGTCGTCGTAGTCGTCGTCGTCGTCGTCGTCGTCGTCGTCGTCGTCGTCGTCGTCGTCGTCGTCCCCGTCCCCTCGAGGGCTTTCAAGGCCCGCCTGGCCTCCCCGCTGGCCCCCGCGTGGCTGCTGCTGCTGCTGCTGCTGCTGCTGCTGCGGCGTTTGCTGTTGGTGCTGCCGCGCGTGCTGGTGGTGCTGCTGCTGCGCCACCTGCTGGTGGTGCTGCTGGTGGTGCTCCCTCTGCATTGGCTGCTGGCGGGCCTGCTGGGGCTGGTGCTGCGGCCTCTGCTGCTGCTGCTGCTGCGGCTGCTGCGGGTGCGGGTGCCCCGGCGGCGGCTGCGAGCTGGGTTTCAGCGGCAGGCCGTTCGCCGCGTCCAGGTCCTCCTCTCGGGGGGGGCGCGGCGAGCGAGGCCCGTCACGGAGGGGATCGGTTTGCTTTGGGTCGGCCTGGCCGCCCCTGATGCACAGGGGGAGATGGAGGGGAGATGGGGGGGGGGGGGAGTGGAAGAGGAGGAGGAAGAGGAGGAGGAGGAGGAGGAGGAGGAGGAGGAGGAGGAGCAGGAGGAGGAGAGACGGAGGAGGAGGAGGAGGAGGTGTCCTGGTCCGGGAACACATGCAGGCGGCGCTGCTGCCCCGCCAGCATCTCGCTGGCGGCCTTCACGTCCCCCGCCAGGTCCTCGGCCCCCAAAGGCTGCGCGATCTCGTTCACGCATCGCCTCAGGTCCTCCCAGAACAGGATGGCCAGCTTGAGGTCGGCCAGCGGGTGCTGACAGCACGGGAAGCTTGCGATGAGGTCCGACTCGAACTCTTGGGGGCTCTTATTGTAGCTCAGGAAGTATAGGGCGACTATACCCATACATGCCCTCGGTACCATGAACGTTGGAAGAACGGCTGGTGTATTCGCGGGGTCATTGCGCAGACGTGACGCACACATAAATCCTGGAGGCAACAGGCCCACCTGGTCGAAATCCTTCAGCAATATCGATGATAAAACTGCTTCTGTCATCTGCCGCAGCGTGCGCTTGAGCACCCGCACGAGGCAGTGGAACGCCGCCAGGTCAAACACCACGTCGGCATTCCACATGTGGCTCTTCAGCCTGCCGGCAGCTCACAAGTGCGATGGCACCCGCCCAGCTTGAACCCCCTCGTCGTTGTCACATCGTCGTCGTCGTCGTCGTCTTGCCTCTTCCCCCACTGACGTGCCCTAACAAGAGACGCCGCCTGCCCGTGCACACCCCGGACGCCCTGACTGGGCATCTTGTGTTGTTCGGTCCGCTGAGTCCAGCGCAGCGTGTGAGGCCTCGCTTTCGATATGCGTATGTCACTGCTCAATAGAAAATCGGAAGGGGCAAAGAAAAGTGGCAGCAGTTTCGCAACGCCCAAGAGAAGCCAATGCGAGCGAGCCAGCACATTGGCAACGAAGAAAGGGGAAGAGAGAAGACATCAGAGAAGTGGAGAGGAAAATAGAAAGGAGGCGGGAGACAGGAAGAGGGATAACTAAAGAGGCGGGAGGGAGAGAGGCAGGAAGGGGCCCGAGGAATGAAGAGAGAGGAGGGGTAGGACCACCAGGGGGAATCAGAGCATCAGCCGTGTGGTGCAACATCACGACGCCGTGAAGCATCACGATCCGATCCCTCGACTCCATCTTCGCAATGCTGGATCGACCCGTGCGGGCCCAGGGCCCCGACATCGTGGCGAAGATCCATTGCCTTGTGTCTCTTCGCAGCGCCAGGATCCAGAGGCACGCCAAGAATCGTGCGTCGAATCTGCCTTCGAAGCGGGGGAGGCCCAGACAGCACCACCTCAAGAGCGAGAGGCGGCGCTGGCACCGAGCAGACTTCCTCCTCAGAGGCCGTGCGCTCCAGGCTCTGGGAGAGGACGGGTACCGCAGGAGGGAGGCGACTAGACGACCCACTGATCCGACCAGGCGATCCCAGCTGCACGTCCCACTAGATCACCACCGACGCTAATCCGAGGAAGCCTTTAAGAACCCCCCCGGGGTTATCGTTAGCGCCGCACCAGGATTTAATCTTTCCAGGGGGCCGTTTTCGCAGAGCGATATCTTTAGCACCTCGCACACATCAAACAATTGCTTAGCAAGGGGCTCAGTAGAGCTTAGTGGGGCGAACCGGGCTGAGCAAGGCTCAGCAGGGGATAGCAGGGCTTAGCAGCGCTCAGCAGGGGCTAGCAAGGCTTGGTATGGGCTTAGCAGGGCTTAGCAGGGCTCAGCAGGGGACGAGCCTGGCTTATCATTGCTTAGCAGGGCTTAGCGGGAGCTAGCAGGGTTCAGCAAAGCTTAGCTTGGCCCCTGATGCTCTCTGCGGGCTCCTCCGATGCCGAGGTAACGCTTCCAGGGTGCCGGATGCGTTATACTTTCACCGGATGAGGGGGGGAGGGGTTCTTAAGTGCTTCCTGGGGTTACGCCTGTCGTCCAGGCTCCCAAACCGCACACCGCCTGTGTCGGGGGAAGGAGGAGGGGGAGGAGGCAAACGGCCGCATGCAAAATCCATCCGCCGCGCTCGCCCCTGGCACCGCGTCCACCCGCGTGCCGCCAAGAGGGAGCTGGCCTGAGCCCGCTGGCCCGACAACGCGCGATGGTAGCTAGGCGGCATCGGGCGCCATCAACCTGGAACGAGCAGGGCTACGCGACGGAGCCAGCGCGGAATGCGTTCAGGCAGCAGCGCGCTGCAGCGCGCTGGAGCTGCTACATGAGGACGCGCCGCGTGCAGGTGCAGTGGGCGGACTTGACCTGCCACATCAGGGAGCTGCGTCACACGCACCTCGACTCTTGTAGATGCCACAAAGAAGATAACGAGTGCGTTGGCAAGTACAACAACAACGACTTACGGGTGCGGGCACGGCGCGCACGAGAAGCACGACGCACACGACAGGTACGCCACAGAGAGCGACAAACACGACAAGTACGACACCAATCACGACGAATATGACACCGAGGACGACAAAGACTAACAGCCCAGCGTGTTGACCACATCTATCGTCGTGCTGAGACTGGTCGACCATGGTTACGCCTCCTACGACGCTTACATCTGAGACGCATGCAACTGCGAGCGCGACGAGAGCAGGGAACGCTTCGGGAGAAGCGGCCATGACGCAGGGGCACGCGCCCTCGATGCCACTATCCCGACATCCGCAGAAGGCTTTATACGCTTCCGCTACAGCGGGCTGGCTACCAAGTGGTCGATGGAATTCAACACGCCGTACCTCGCGACCACCAGGGGGAACCCCATGATACACACGCCGGTCGAGGGCCACTGGCAGAAATGCCAGGGCCACCAGTTGCGCTACAACGGCCGCAAGCAGAGCTTCGAGAGCCACCAGCAGAGCTTCGAGATCCACCAGCAGAGCTTCAAGAGTCACAAGCAGTGCTCCAAAAGCCACAAGCTGAGCTACGAGGGCCACTCGCAGAGCTTTCATAACCACCACCAGAGCTTTGCGAGCCACCAACAGAGCTACGAGAGCCATGTCGAGCTACCAGGACCACACGCAAAGCTTCGAAAACCACCAGCAAGGTTACGAGAGACACCAGCAGGGCTAATTACGTGAGCCACCGGCTGGGTCAGGAGAGCCACCCACTGGGCTGCGAGGGCCACAGGCTGAGCTACGAACCAGCTGAGCTACAAGAGCCACCAGCTGGGCTGCGAGGGCCACTGGCTGAGCTACAAAAGCCACAGACTGCGCCACGAGGGCTACAGGTTGAGCGGCGCGAGCCACCCTTGGCTGCGAGGGCCACAGGCAGAGCTTCGAGGGCAACGCGCATGGCTTCGCGAGCCACCAGCTAAGTTACGAGGGCCACCTGCAGAGCCAAGAGGGACACTTGCTGATCTGCAGGGTCCACCAGCAGAGCGTCGAGAGCAACCAACACAGCTTCGAGGACCACCAGCTGAGCTACGAGAGCCACCAACAAAGATGCGAGGCCGCCAGCTGAGCTACGAGGGCTACCAGACGAGCTACGAGGTGATGACTAGGATGCCCAATCGTGGATTCATATATGGATCCACGAACAATTTGCTAAACACATGTGGCATCGACGGGGAATAACCCGAAGTCGTTCACCCAACAAACTGCATTGCAGAGTGGCATGGGGTGAAGGTACACATGAACGAGCTTGGAATAATCCCCTGGGCTCCCCTCGGGAGCATGACATCCGCTGTGTGGGATATCATGGTGGCGGACACGTGCTTGTCATAGACGAGGAAGCTGAGTACAGCGGCAGCCAGACGCCCAAACGTGTCAATACACCTACAGCGACAAGCTACGCGATAGAGGGCAAGAGCGGCAAGGAATACTACGTCTGCGTAGTGCTGGAGCTGAAAGACCAGGCTGTGAGGGTCCGCTGGACTGACGGCAAGGAGGCCGAGGTCCAGGCCAAGTGCGAGGTGCCATGCTGTTAAATGCATGATTGTTCGGGCGCTGGGATGCCAGCAGAAACCGTAGCCCTGGGGTTGCTACTCTTCTCCTGGCGTGTCCCTCCTCCTTCCTTCGCCTCCTCCGTCCCCCTTCTTTTCCCTCCTCCTCCCTCCCTTCCTCCTCCTCGCGCCTCCTCCTCCTCCTCCTTCTCCTCCTCCTCCTCGCCCTCCTCCTCCTCCTCCTCCTCCTCAACCTCCCTTCTGACAACTCCCCCCTTCATATTCCTGCTCAGGATCCTTCCTCCTCCTTCTCGCTCTTCCTCCTTCTCCTCCTTCCTCAAAAGTTCGCCCTCCTTGACTCCAAGCCTGTCCCGTTTATTTTGTTTGGGGCTGGCACCCCCCAGATGTCCTCATGGGGAGCAGGGACATCACCCGGCTGAGCAGGAACTCGGACCTGATGTTGGAGGGGATCGGCATCCTGCCAGGCCAGAAGGGAGAACGACAAGGAGGAGGACGTGACGTGGGAGGGATCGGCATCCTGCCAAGGCCAGGACGGAGAACGACAAGGAGGAGGACTGGATATTGGCTTGGGATCGGCATCCTGCCAAGGCCAGGAGAAAGGACGAGGAGGAGGAGGAGGAGTAGGAGGAGGGGGGGGACCGGGGAGGAGGAGAAGGAGGAGGAGGAGGAGGACCAGTGTAAACCCAAGAGTCATCAACGATGTTGGAATAAACTCTCCCTCCAAGCTCCCTCTTCATAGGCCCCTACAACGGTTCATTTCCATTGATGGAACTGCCTCGTTGGAAGACACCCGTTTAAAGACCCTGAAACATGCCAAGACATCGCTCTCGAGATTCCAACGCCACGGATCAACCTGACTGTTGCGTCTTGACGATCCCGAATCGTGCCAGAACGCCATTCCTAGGAGTTCAACACAGAGAATCGACGTACATGTTGCACCAACATAATCCTGAATCCTTCCCAAACACCATTTCTGATACGCTGATGAGGGGAATCTGTGAAACTCTTGAAAATCTTGTAAACGAATGTGCGCGGCGCTAAGGCGAGAACCACAATTTGAAAAGGAGCCGCCCTCAGTCCGTGAAGCTCATGTAAATTGTTAAAACGAATGTGCGCCGCGCTAAGGCGATAACCACATGTTGACCACGACCCACCCTCAATCCATGAAACCCGTGCAAATGTTTGAAACGGATGTGTGCCGCGCTAAGGCGAGAGCCACATTTTGAAAGCGACCCGCCCTCTATGCGTGAAACTCTTGGATTTTGTAAAAAAGCGAATTTGCGGCGCGCTAAGGCGAGAACCATATTTTGAAAATAACCCTCCCGCAATCCGTGAAGTTCTTGCAAGTTTTAATCAAATGTGCGCCGCGCTGAGACGAGAGCCACATTTGAAAACGGTCCGCCCTCCACCTGTGAAGCTGTTGCCGACTTTTAAGCTTCAGGATCATAACTGGCGAAGTCTCAGGCGAAACGCCCGGCCCGCGCTAAAAAATGGCCTCGGGACGCGACAGGGAGAAATTATTCAGAAGGAACAGGAATGGAGGAGGAGGAGGAGGAGGAGGAGGAGGAGGAGGAGCAGGAGGAGAGGAGGAGGAGGAGGAAGAGGAGGAGGAGGAGGGCGGAGGAGGAGGAGGAGGAGGAGGAGCAGGAGGAGAGGAGGATGAGGAGAAGGAGGAGGAGGAGGAGGAGGAGGAGGAGAGGAGGAGGAGGAGGAGGAGGAGGAGACGAGCGCGCGAGGAAGGTTCGCTCCCGACGGGGGGAAACAAGGCGGGGGAAGGGAACGGAACTGAGCAAATGGAGGAGGCAGGGAGGAAAAGGGAAGAGGGCGGCGATGGACAGGAGCAGGGGGGGAGGAGAAGAGGCAGAAGACGGGGGGGGGGGGGGAAGAAAAGGGCGGGAGGAGGGAAAAGAAATAAACGCATGTAAGAGGCAGGGAGGACAAGGGAAGAGGGCGGAGGTGGACAGGAGCAGGGGTAGGCAGGAGAAAACGACGATGCATAGACGGGAGAAGCACAAATGGCGGGGGAGGGACAGGAAAGGAACACATGGAGGAGGCTGGGAGGAAAAAGGGAAGAGGGCGATGGACAGGAGCAGGGGAAAGGCAGGAGAAGAGGCAGAAGAGGGGGGACCAGAAAGGGCGGGAGGAGGCAAAAGAAAAGGAGCACACATGGAAAAGGCACGGAGGATAAGGGCAGAGGGCGGCGATGGACAGGCGCAGGGGCAAGCAGGAGAAGAGGCAGAGGATGGAGGGGAAAGAACAGGTCGGGGGGAGGGCAGGCGGTAAGAGGGGGGGGGGGGGCGGGGGCAGGGGGTGGGAGGCGCAATCGCCAAGCCTGCTGCAGGCTGCGCGGGCGCCGCGAGGGCCGACGGGGCGGGGCGCGGAGCAGGGAGGAGGCGAACGAGCGAGAGAGCCGTGGAGACCTCAACGCCCCTCCTCGTCCTCCTCCTCATCCGCCTCCTCCTCCGCCTCCTCCGCCTCCGCCGCCTGCTCCTCTTTCTCCTCCTCCTCCTCCTCACCCTCCTCCTCCTTCTCCTCCCCGTTCAGGGACGCTCGCCCTCCTCCTCATCCTCCGCCTCCGCCGCCGCCTCCTCCTCCTCCTCCTCCGCCTCCGCCGCCCCCCTCCTCCTCCTCCTCCTCCTCCTCCTCCTCCTCCTCCTCCTCCTCCTCCCCCCTTCTCATCCTCATCCTCCTCCCCCCTCCTCCTCCTGCTCCTCCTGCTCCTGCTCCTCCTCCTCCTCCTCCTCCTCCTCCTCCTGGGCGTCCTGGGGTAGCCCACCTGGTCGGAGAACGGCCTGTCGGGCTGCGCGGGCTCGAACGGTTCTGCCGTGAGCACCCCGAACTTCATCAGCTCCATCGCGACAAGCACCGGCTCCTGCAGCGCCGACTTGACGTCCTTGGCAGGGCTTCGAAACTAACACGCAAGGTGATCAACTGTGGCTCGTGGGGTGAAAGCATCAGACGAAGGGAGCCATGCGCATCTGACGGGTGTTTGTGCGCCCCCCCCCCCTGGGTGCCCCCCTTGTGAGGCACGATCGGGCATGCTGGTGTGAGGCACTTTGCCCCATGCCCAAGCATCCGATGTGCGGGGGGTGCGAACGGATTGACAGTCTGGCCTCGTCTCTGCTGGCGTTTGGTGATCAGGCGGGTGAGAATAGAACGAATGAGAGTAGCTTGTCCGATAACGGGGGGGGAGGCGGGGGCAGGACGGACGGGAGGAGGCGGACGAGGTCCCCAGACCTGACGTCGCGATTTCTCTCGCAACGTCGACCCGCAAAAGTCTGGACCTCTTCCCCGGGACCTGATTTTCGTCCCGAGCCGTTGTTTGACGCCCCCGAGGCCCGGGAAGGGCCCCCAGAGGCAAAAACCAACGAAGCGCCTCCCGTCGTGATGTGATTTTTGCGCAGCGCGAGGAGGCCCGGGTCCCGCACCCCGGCACCGCCTCGCTTGTCCACGGCGCCCCAGCGCTGCGGGCTCGGCGGCCGTCCCCCCCCGCTTTCTCGTGGGCCTGCCGAGGCCAGCAAGGGCTGCAGCAGGGGCCTCGACCACAGGAGACCTGCCACAGGAAGCCCAACCCTGGGCCGGCCATTGACTTTTGGCATGGGGACGTCACGATCTCCATTGCAAAACCACCGACACCAAAGAAACCCAAGGCACCCTGGAGGCAAGCAGGGTGCTTCCTGGCATGGGCTTCCACTGTACCTCCAGGAAGTCAGGTGCAGTCGAGACTTGGCCACAAGAGCGTGGGTCAAGAACATGAGCCCCCATTAGCCCAGGCCCAGTGGCGAAAGCTCAAACGAAGAGCACTCCAAGGCGGAGAGCCCACACCCGAAGAACATGAAGGTACCCTTCCAGAGCTGGGGCTGTTCTCAACCGTCTCACAAGCTATAGATGGCCTCGCCAAGGCTGCGTGGGTCCGATAAGGCCAGCTCCAACGAGAGGATGTCTGTGCGCAGCCCTGAGTTGCCAGACGTCCTTAAGGACGTTGCCCAGGTGGGTGATGCCTCCGTCGTCCCCGATCAGCTCCAGGTGCTCCAAGAGCATGAAGTGGACCAGAGTCGTCAGAGAAAGCAGGTCCGGCGTAAACTGGGACTCGCCGAATTTGGTGAGGTTCTGGAAGAGCTGCCCCTCGTTGGCGAATTCGTTCGCGTGCCACCTCAGGCATGAGATGATGCTGATGGTGATGATGTTGATGGTGATGATGATGCTGATTATGATGGCGATGAAGATGATAAAGATGACGATCGTGATGATGACGATGATGCTGATGCTGATAATGGTGCTGATGATGCTGATGATGCTGCTGATGAGGTTGATGATGATGCTGATGCCGATGCTGATGCTGCTGATGCCGATGCTGATGCTGCTGATGATGCTGATGATGATGTTGATGAAGATGATACTGCTGTTGATGATGATGATGGTGAGGTTGATTATGATGATGATGATGATGTTGCAGACGATGATGATGCTGATGATGCTGATGATGATGCTGATGCTGATGCTGATGATGATGCTGATGCTGATGCTGAAGCTGTTGATGATGATGCGAGTGGGAGAGAATGAGGACGATGAGGAGACAAGGGGGAGACGGAGACCACCTGAGGCAGAACTTCAGATCGATCCTACAGACGTCCTGCCTCGCCATCTCGGCCTCCACGTCCTCCTTCGAGAAGGTGATCGACTGCAGAATCGATCTACCCCAACATTGACATCTTCGTCGGGTCTACGAAAACAGACCTAGAATGTTTGCACATCTACAAAAATTCAACGTCTTGGTCGTCGGTTCAACGAAAATTCCAAGGTTGGGGTACATCGATTCTGTAGTCGATCCCCTACTCGACTCCTTCCGGATCCGCCAGCGCAGGGTCTTCTTCGGCTTCTTCGGCTGCATTACCCTCTCTCCTGTGGAGGGCCTAAGAGGCTCCCAGAAAGCCTTGCACGTGATGGTCTTCTTCATGTAGCAGGTGTTCAAGTGCTGGGCAACGAGGCCGAGGGCGAGCTGCCTTCGGGTTGGCCTACCGTCAAGATCGGCAGTAAGGGCGCAGGGTGAGGATGCAAAGCCCCTGGGCCTTCCAAGTCGGACGCTCTTGGGTGCCGGAACTGGCTAAGGATTGGAAGGTGAGGTAGTGATGCGAAGGGTGCCCCGGCGGAAGGGTGGCGTCCTTAAACTGGGCTCTGACTGAAAGTGGTGGGCGGGCCGCCATACCTCATGGGACAAGGGCCTTCGCCAAAGCGTCCTGATCTGCTCCTCATTCGCCGCTACGAGTGTTCGTCCAAGATGCAGCGCCTCCTGTAAGGCGATGGGGCCCCGGTACGACGCCGTCAGTGGCGTTACGCCCGCGATAAGAGAGGATCAGACGGGCCGGTTATGCTGTGGGCCCCCACTACAATAAATGTTCAGTTCAAGCACAGATTTGCTCAAGTCTTGGGCGGAACCGTATTATTGAATTCGAGCCCGAAGGTTTCGAAATCCAATAAAGATCGTATTTTGAAGGACGTCATGGGTGGGGGCGCCATTTCGAAAACGAACCAGAAAGCTTCGGAATCGTTCGGAACATTTTTTTGTTGGGGGAATCTCGAGCGAAAACTGCATTTTCGAAATCTGTGGTCAAACATAGAATTTGAATGCCAAACGGTGTAGCCATTTCGAAACGATGGTTTCGCTTGAGACTTCTGCCAAAAAGCAAATCCGAACGATTTCAAAAAACTTTTGGGTACGATTTCGAAATGGCGCTCCCGTCCAAGATTTTTGCCAAACTAGAATTCGAAACCTTTTGGTTCGGTTTCGAAATGGCGCTCCCGCCCACGACTTCCCCCGAAACAAAATTCGGGGCTTGCCGGGTTCGATTTCGAAATGGCGCTTCCGCCACCTGAAAACTGGAATTCGACACCCTTTGGCTCGATTTCGAAATGGCGCCCCCGCCAAAAACTTCCTCGACAATAGAGGTCGGCACTTCTTCAACTCGAATTCGCAACGGTGCTCCCGCCTAGGACGTGCCTTGGTGGAAGCACGAGACGGGTCAACACTTTCGCAGCACCGATGTGGAATTTCAAACCGCCCATGGTTGCCCTGCGTCTGGTCGGTCTGGAAAGAGGCGCACTCGCTCGCCGACAGATGCATCGCCGTCCTCGACGCGCATTCGGAGGTGCGTCCAAATCGTCGCACCACTCATGCAGATTGGTTCGCAGTGCAGCGCTAGGTGCAAGGCAACCATAAGCGGTTTGATATTCCGCTGCGGAGTGTCAGACCGCCTGTGGTTGCCCTGCATTAGGTAGGTCTGGAAAGTGGCGCACTCGCTCGCCGACCGATGCATCGCCGTCGTCGTCGCGAACTCTGAGGTGCGTCCAAGTCGTCGCACCACTCATGCAGATTGGTTCGCAGTGCCGCGCAAGGTGCAGGGCAACCATGAGCGGTTTGATATTCCACTGCGGAGTGTCAGACCTCCTGTGGTTGCCCTGCAGTTGGTCGGTGTGGAAAGTGGCGCACTCGCTCACCGACCGATGCATCGCCGTCGTCGTCGCGCACTTTGGGGAACGTCGGAGTCGCTTCATCGCTCATGCATATTGGTTTGTAGTGCAGCAGGAAATGAAGGGCAATCATCGGCGTTTTGAAATTCCACTGTGGAAGTTCAACCCACCCATGGTTGCCCGGCATCTGGTCGGTCTGGAAAGAGGCGCACTCGCTCGCCGACCGATGCATCGTAGTCGTCTCGCACTCTGAGGCGCGTCGGAGTCGTTTCATCGTTCGTGCAGATTGATCCGCTGTGCAGCGCAAGGTGCAGGGCAACCATAAGCGATTTGGAATTCCACTGTGGAGTTTTAAACCGCCTATGCTTGCCCGGCATCTGGTCGGTCTGGGAAGTGGCGCACTCGTTCGCCGACCTATGTATCGCCGCCGTCGTCGCGCACTTTGAGGCGCGTCGGAGTCGTCGCATCGTGCATGCAGATCGATTCGCAGTGTGTAGCACAAAGTTCAGGGCAACCACCAGCGGCTTGAAATGCCTCTCGAATTTCAAACCGCCCATGGTTGCCCTGCGCCTGGTCGATCTGAAAAATGGCGCACTCGTTCGCGGCCGATGCATCGCCTTCGCCGCCGCGCACTGTGAGGCGGGTCGGAGTCGTTTCATCGTTAGTGCAGTTTGATCCGCAGTGCAGCGCAAGGTGCAGAACAACCATCAGCGGTTTGGAACTCCTGTGTGGAGTTTCAAGCCGCCCATGCTTGCCCTGCATCTGGTCGGTCTGGAAAGTGGCGCACTCGCCCGCCGGCCGATGCATCGCCGTCGTCGTCGCGCACTCTGAGGCGCGTCTGGGTCGTCGCATCGCTCATGCAGATTGAGTCGCAATGCGGCGCAAGGTACACGGCAACCATCAGCGGTTTGAAATTCCACTGTGGAATGTCAATCCACTTACGATTGCCCTGCGCCTGGTCGATCTGGAAAGTGGCGCACTCACTCGCCGACCGATGCACGGCCGTCGTCGTCGCGCACTTTGAGGCGCGTCGGAGTCGTCGCATCATTCGTGCATATTGGTTCGCAGTGCAGCGCAAGGTGCAGGGCAACCATCAGCTGTTTGGAATTCCACTGTGGAGCTTCCAACCGCCCATGGTTGCCCTGCACTTGGTCGGCTTGGAAAGTGGCGCACTCATTCGCCGACCGATGCATCGCCGCCGTCGTCTCGCACTTCGAGGCGCGTCGGGGTCGTCGCATCTTTCATGCATATTGATTCGCAGTGCAGCGCAAACAGCAGGGGAACCATAAGCGGTTTGGAAATCCACTGTGGAACGTCAAAGCGCTTATGACTGGCCTGCGCTTGGTCGACCTGGAAAGTGGCGCACTCCCTCGCCGACCGATGCATCGCCTTCGCCGTCGCGCACTTTGAGGCGCGTCGGAGTCGTCGCATCGCTCAAGGAGGTTGATCCGCAGTGTAGCGCAAAGTGCAAGGCAACCATCAGCTGTTTGAAATTCCACTGTGGGATGTCAATCCACTTATGATTGCCCTGCGCCTGGTCGATCTGGAAAGTGGCGCGCTCACTCGCCGACCGATGCATGGCCGTCGTCGTCGCGCACTTCGAGGCGCGTCGGAATCGTTTCGTCGTTCATGCTGATTGATTCGCAGTGCAGCGCAAAGTGCACGGCAACCATCAGCGGTTTGAAATTCCACTTCGCCGCTACGAAAGTTCGGCCAAAGTGCTGCGCCTCCTGAAAGGCGACGTGGCCCCCGAACGACGCCGCCCGACGAGAGGGGCCGGGCCCCCACCCCGCGCGCGTCACGCTTTTTGCGGCCAAAGCATGGGGCGGTGCCGCACGAGCGCGGGCGAGCCCAGCAGCGGGCCCAATCGACGCCGAGCCCGCGGAAGGCACTAGCCTTCGCCGCTATCGATGCGGCACACGGGCCGCCCGCGTTCCCTATCCTTTCTGTGCCGCGGGCAGCGAGGGTTCGCGCTCGTGGGCGCCCCTCTCCTGCCCGGGCTGTTCTCCAATTATCATTCCAAATCATTGTTTCCATGAGTCACAATGGTAAATGCGCGCCGTCGCCGCCGCGGCGGGGCGTGGCGCGGCGCACGCTTGCGCGAGCCTCGTCCGCGCGGCGGGCCGCCTCTGCGGCCTGTGCCCTCCTGTAATCAGCATCGCGTCGATTTGAGGTTGCGCGCAGGTCGGCGCGAGCTTCGCGCGCAGGCGTCCTGGGCGCGCGCGCGCGCTCGTAGTCGCAGAGTTCCCCTCCCTTTGTTCGGGTGGGCGGGTTGGGAGAAACAAATTTTGCGCGCGTGGCGTTGCGCGGAGAAGGGGGGGGGGGTAACTTGCGAACGCTCGCGCCTCCGTGCTGCGCGATCGGCGCGAGCTCCGTCCCGGCCCCCCGTCAGTCCTGCGAGCTCTGCCCGACCCTGCCCAAGGTCGGAGCTAGCAAGACCGACGAGAGGGGCCGGGCCCCCTGACCGCGCGCGTCGCGCTCTTTGCGGCCAAAGCATGGGGTGGTGCCGCACGTGCGCGGGCGAGCCCAGCAGCGGGCCCGGTCGACGATCAGTTTGTGTGACCAGGCCCGCCACTAATCGCGCCCCCCGGTCGTGCACTACCGCCCGATGCTTTATTCGTTTTTTTGTTGGTTGTTCTCCCCCCGTGTTATAGCCCGTGATCCATTGCGCTGGCGGCGTGACATTTGCGACCTTCGCGCGCCTCCCGCAGGTCTACGACGCCCTCGGAATTCGACGGTTGCCTCGGGCCACAGCTCCGTCGGGCACTGCCGATCGGGGCGGATTGGTCACCGGCAAGACGGGAGGTGGGCGCCGCAAATTATTTTCCCTGCCCGACGACCGCTCTCGGCTCGGCAAGGGGAACGAGCGCGCCTCTCCGACACCGTCGGCCGGCGACGCCTTTGGTCGGCGAGCGCATATTGTTTGAGATATCCGGCATTCGCGCGCCTTCCACCTACCCAACTCTCGATCTACCATGGCGGGCCTGCCAGAGGCCTTCCCCCCGACGTCCGGTCGCGCCGTCACCTCGGGCCCCGAACGAGCATTTTGTTTGTTTGTTTTTTTTTTCGGCGGGACGAGCGGATTCGGCGTCGCCGAAGCACCCGGGGCCCGGTGGAAGGCGGGTGCCGCATATCGCCCTCGCCCGACGGCCGCTCTCGGCGCGGCAGAGGGGAATGAACGCACCTCTCCGACACCTTTGGCCGGCGATGCCTGTGGTCGACGCTCGCAAGTCGGGGGCGCGGTGCCTTCGCGCGCCTTCCACCTGAAGGCCCTCGGCCTTACTAATTGTTAGCAGCAGTTGTAAGTAGGTTATAAGTAAGTTGCAACTAGGTTGCATGTAATTTATAACCATTAGTAATGTTACTAAGTCGGCTAACTCGGGCGGTGCATTTGGAGGTAGATAGCTTGAGTTAACGAAGTTGCTAACTTCGCTAACTTTTACATGCTTACTTGAAAACAGAGCTGCTGCATCGGGTTTTCCTTGGATGTTGCCTCCAAAAACGCATGCATGTGTTTGGATTTTCGGGATCACGC